CGCCCGCTGCGCCGGCACCGGAGCCAGCGGGGGCAGCAGGGTGGGGTTAGTCCCTGCAGGTCACCGCCGGGCCGCCGCGGTCCCAGCGGCCCACCTGGCCGGCCGGCGGCGCGCGGGTGCGGTCAGCGCGGCCACGGGACGCGGTCACACCTGTCCCAGTCGACCGTGGGAGGTCTCCGGAGCTCCCAGCTGTGCGCCGCGCCGGATGTTGAGCGTGTCGCTTCTCCGGAGGTCAGCGCAGCAGCCTCGCTCTGAGCGGCGGGAGACGGGACAACAGCGCGCTTAAAGAGCTGCCGCGGTCGGGTTCCGCGGAAATGCTACCGCCCAGCAGCGAGAGAGACTGTGCGACCGTGACGGAGATGACGTGCAGACCGTTGTTCGGCTTATTTATCGACGCACTAACAGGGCTAGTCGCTTCGATGAAGCGCTCATTGCGATGCTACTGAGAGCCGACGAACAGATCTATGAAATATACATACGAGGGCACGGACAAACCCAAACTAGGCGCTTACTCAGCATGGCCAAGACTGGTTTTGTTCTGTCGTATGGGTACACCTGTTGTGCCCTTCTCTTGAACAATTACTCATTGTAGTGCCCTGATGTCCAGCCGGCCAGTTACTTAATTTGCAAAATCGTCAGTGAAATTCGCAGCTTTCAATCAATATTTGAGACCATCAGCGAGTTCTATCTGTTGCGAATAGCAAGCACTTCTGCATAGCAACAAGTGTTGTCCGTGGAAATATGGGAGTGCTTCTTATACATAGGAAAGCAAAAGTTAACCTTCCAGGCGGTGGGGGGGGGCATTTTTTTGCCCCCCCCCCTTTAGTTTTTTTTCAATATATCTCGAGAACCGCTGCGCCGATCGTCACCAAACTTTCAGTACCCTCCCGGGAGCAGCTAGCGCACATGGTGACCAAAAATATTTCCAAAAGCTATGATAGGTTGGCCGCTAATGACGTCAGAGTGACGTCATTTTTGCCATTTTCGACCCAAAAAAAGGTTTCGCGGAAAGAGCTGTCAGGCCTACAGCTTTAGAGATGCAGAAAAATGTTTCAGACATAAAAGGTGTGGAATCAAAAGGGGCTACAAAACTGCTATTTCGGTTTTTCGATTTTTTTGGATTTGGACCCCAAAAATCAAAAAATAGATTTTTTGAATATAATAGCCAAAAAATCCAAAAAGTTTTTGGAATTTCGAGAAAAACCGGAATATATGTGATAGTCCCTACCGCCTTCTATCTACATACCAAATTTGAGATCGATACCTCTTTTTTTGGCCAAGTTATAGCGAAAACACTGTTCAAAATTGATGACGTCAAATTTTCAAACTCAATTTTTAGCAATTCTAGACCACGTAGCGCAAAACAAAGACCACCATTAGACTCCCCGTGACGAACTGCATCGAATCATTACCCATTTTATGCAAAAATATCAACTTTGAAATTTGACCTTTTTTACCTGACCTTGACCTGACCTCCACCAGAAAGTGACCTAAACCGTACCTGATGGTCTAATAACCAGCACCATTGAGTTGGAAATGAAAAACTGGCCATAAAACATGCATCGCATAGCCTTAGTTAAGTTGGGCTCATGTGGTGACCCTTGGTGACCTTTGGTGACCTGACCTGTGACCTGACCTGGTATGACCGGTGACCTCTAATAGCAACATATGTACTAGACAACTGACGCCTTATCGCTGATTTTCGACAAAATGCGTTTTACTCGGTGTTATAGCGCTTTCCCTAGAAGCCCCGTGAACGGTGAAACATTTTATCTTTGACCTGACCTGTGACGTCATCGGTGACCCCGAGGTCAATGAAATTTGGTTTTCCTCAACAAATTTGACAGGGCTATCGAACGCCGTTTGAAATTTCCGGATCCGTCCAGTAGTTTCGGAGATACGGGGGGGGGCAAAAAAATGCCCCCCCCCCCCACCCCCCACCGCGCGGAAGGTGGCTGGTAGGCCCAAGGCCGTATAAGTTAGGTAAGATCGTCCGGGCTCGCTAATGTTACAAATCTGCAACACTACGGTGACGTCACCGGCGCATACGCTCCCCGGCTCGATCCGGACCCTGATGCGGCGGCTGCAATCGCTGCCAATCGAAAAATTACTTCTGCAATAGCGCTTTTAAATGACTTTAAAAAGGGGAAAATATGATAACAAAATAATTATGAGAATTCCTTGTCCTAACTTGGATCGTATGAACCCGCCACCTAGTGGACAACGCCGCAATTAGGGTTGAGTTGGCGATCGCCAGGTGGCTCGTCAGAAAGCTGTCAGCCGCAGGCAGGAGGGGGCCTGCAGGCGCTTAATATTATGTTAACGCCAGGTTATGCTCAGGAAAATGCGACACGCTTCGGAACGGTCATCTATCTCGAAAAAGATGCGGTGCCCTGTGGTGTTATTCCCACATGAATCGGGACCCGTAGGCCGTGTAGTCACCGGCAGCTCCCAAGGCCGCTAGGCGCTACGGAGCGATACGTAGGTAGGTACTTCGAAAATCGCTAGACAAAGGACTCAGGGGCGCAGCCAGGGAGGGGGCACACTGGGCTTTAGCCCCTCCCAAATCTAGCAGGCGCTTTCCACGATCATTCTGTGCGCCGATGGCGCCTATCAGTGTCCACGTCCAGCACTCTAGTCGCCCTCGACGGTAAGCCATTGCGGCACATCATGCGGCACTGGCGCCCAGGTTTACAATTTTCATAGACTACTACATAGATATGTAGTAGTCTATGCAATTTTATATCTCTTTGTGGGTGAAGATGCACCCACAATCCTGAAGTGCCGGATATCCACTCCCAATCTCCTGACCATCTAGCGCCCTCGGCTCACCTTTAGCGCCCTTCTGTCTGTTCGGCGCTCTTCTGCTCTGTCGGCGCCCTTCTCGGCCTTCAGCGCTCTCCTGGCCTGTCGGCGCCCTCTTCACATTCGGAGCCCTCCGGGCAGACCAGTTGGCGCCCTCATGGGCATTATCACACAGCATCCTCCTTATCTGTCTCGTCCTCCACAAGTCCACACATGTCAGCGCCCTCCTGACCTGGCAGCGCCCTCCTTATCGTATTATAGCGCCCTCCTCACCGTACAGTGTCCTCCTCACCTGTCGCCATCCTCCTCACTGTATAGCGGCCTCCTAACCATACAAATTACAAAGCCCTCCAGACCGACGCCCTCTACGTTCAGCGCTCTCCTGACAAGTCGGTGCCCTTTTCACCGTAGAGGGCCCTTCCTGATCTGTCGGCGCCCTCATGACCGTGCATCGCCTTCCTCACCTGTCCGCGGCCTCCTCTTTATACAGTATCCTCCTGGCCTGTCAGCGCCCTCTTCACTCGTATAATGCCCTTCTCATCGTATGGCATCCTCCTCACCACACGGCGCCCTCCTGACCTGTCGGCGCTCTCCCCACCATACAGCGCCCTGCTGACTTGTCGGCACCCGCTTCACGGACAGCGTCCTCCAGATCTGTCGCAGCCCTCATCACCGTGCACTGTGCAGTGCTCTCCTGACCTGTTAGCGCCCTCCTCGCCTGTCGGCGACATCTTCGCGTTCAGCGCCCTCCTGACCAGCCGGCGCCCTTTGCAACGCATAGCGCCCTCATCACCATGCATCGCCCTCCTGACCAGTCGTTCATCGTACAGCGCCCTCCTGACCTGTCGGCGCCCTCCTCACAACACATCGCGCCCTTCTGACCGGTTAGCGTTCTCCTCACCATGCAGACAATGCAACAGTGTACAATTAGGAAATCGTTAAGGAACCTATGTTTAACCCTCGCCGGCACAGGCCATTTTGTCATTCGACGGCACAAGGGGGGGGGGGGTACGACCCCTCCCCCTCGCATTTGGCCCCTGATGGAGCTAGAGCTTCGCGGAAAAAAACGAGCGTGTTGCCCGTCACGAGAGGAAGCCAATAACATTTAAGTTTAAGGTCCTAGGTCATCGGTTGACCTTCCAGGTCAGGTCAATGACCCAAAAATCGGGAATACCGGGACCTGTTAGAAAGTCGTAAAGTGTGGCTGCTAAGGGTTTTCCGGGGTGCTGATCACGAATATCGTGTTAGTTTTGATCACAGATGATGTCGTTAAGCGTTCAGACCAGGTCGGGTCAGATCAGAGGTCAACCGGTAGGGGTCGTGACGGGTATTCGTAGTACCTGTCATCCGTCTCTGACAGCTTCGTAGCATGTTACGAAGGCACCGAAACTACTTCGTTAATGTTCAAATGATTGCTAAATTCGAATTCAGCTCCAAAAACTAGCCTAGAAACATGTAAAACTCGAAAAAGTGAACCGAGGTCACCAAAGGTCAATGACCTGACCTGACCTGACCTTCAGGTGACCTTGACACCCACCCTAATGCATGGGAGCAACATCAAATCACATGTTTGGACGATTGAAACCACGAAAAGCTTGCAAACGCGCGGCTAATGCGAGCCAACATACGCCGAATCGTGATTCCGGCCAAACATGGTCTCGGAAAAGAGGTCACAGGTCAAAGGTCATTTGGGTCAGGGTCATGAAATTTTCAGGGTAGGTGTCAAATTGATCAATGCGAGGATACTGAAAGTTTCGTCGTGATCGGCCGCATTTTACGCGAGTCATTCGCGAAAAACCTTAGGGGGGTTCCCCCTGTGCCGGCGAGGGTTAAAGTGATTTTAGGCGCGAATTAGTAATGAAGCATTTTCCGGAAAATAAAAGCATGACAACGTTTCTAGCGTTTCCGGAACGTTTCCGGAAAGGAACTTGTTTACAACCGTGACCCTCAAAATCATATGCAAGGCCAAACTTGCGGCGAAGGCCAGCTGAGAAGTGTACGCTCCCGTGACGTCACGGCTAATGTTAAAGAGTCGGGCGCCCGGCACATAGGAAAGCTCGGGATGACAGCCCCCTGGGTAGGCCCACCGCCTGCCGGGTTAAAGAGTACGCACTGTCTTTTATTATAAAAAGCTGCAGAAAGAAGCAAGTTGCTGGCAGAAAAGTCACAGAGGAGGTTGGGCGCCCGGGACTCACCTATGTTGACGATCCTGCCGAAGAGTCTCCTTCCTCTCATCCTCTCCTGCGTGGGGCAGTTCCAGCGCCGGTTGCGGAACTGATGCTGGCACTCGGTGACGGCGGCTCGGGTGCCGCGCGCCACTGCGCCGATCACGCCCTGGTTCTCTCTGGCCAGGCGGCGCTGCTTCTTCCGCAGAGAGCTGATCGGGTCTAGCGGGTAGCCCGGGTAGGCGCCCCGCATTCGGTTGCTGCGCAGGTCGTTGGAGAGCGTCGGGTCCTCCGCTTTCGATGTGTCATCAGCCAGGTGGATCACTCCCCTGTGGAAGGAGGAGATGGGTGTCAGGTGGACGTTACTGGTAGGAGGCATAAGTGGTGGAAGGGCCATGGATGATGTCCATTAGGAGTCTCAGTCGGCTTGAAATTTGTCATGTTCTCTTGTTTCGGCTTTTAGCTTCGGAAGTTATTCCGAGAAGTCTGACTGAAAGACAGGCGTATTCGTGAAACGGAACTAAACGATGCATGTTTACAAATAGCTGCGGTTTTACGTCTAGGCATCAAACTCAGATAAGTCCCTCGATAAGACCAGAACCTCCGATAATACATCTGAACACTGGAAAGATCCTATTATTCATAGCTCCTGCAAACGGCGCGCACACCGGAGACCGCCTGTGACGCTCCGTTCAAAGAGATCGATGTTGTATAGTCGGCCCCGGCCGGCTGTCATCTCCGCAGTGTGGAACCGGAGATCTGTCCTGCGACATCGCCGCGTCCCCCGCGAGCGGTCGCCGCTTCTTTGACAGGACGCTGATGGATGCGCGAATTGTCGGTACAGGTGTAAGACGAGCCTGGATTGTGCCGCAGAGTGATGTATCTGGATATCTGTCTGTGCGGCTACAAGGCATTGCTAACGTCTCACTTGTAGCCGGTCGGTATTAGCATTGACGGGCCGGGCATGGATGTTATCGGGCAGGCTGGAGCTCCGCGTCACGCGAAGGACAAGGGAGCGTACCCCGTCCGCCGGGTGGCCGGTGCATTGCAGGTGCATGTTGTGCACCCTCAGCTTAGGCCGGGGCTTCAACAGCGACTTATCAAGCAAGAAGCTTTTGAACAAGATCACTGCTCCCTTGACCATCTACCGTCACGATGTAGTGGCGTTTTGAATCGCCGATCGCCTAAACTAATACGGGGTTCAGCTCATAGCTAATGCACAGCGGTGTCCGGCCGCCCACCACTTAGGAGCTGCCACCGCGGTGCGGTCGGTGTGTCTGGCTGATCCATACCCTGCCCTAATAACAGGCTATTAGCCGTCACCGGGTGGGGACCCGTGCGGATCACACCCAACCGGGACCCCCCAAAAACGCGGCCGGCCACCGACACAATCAGTTAGATGTCATCGGCTGACATCTTAATGCAAGTCGTCCGCTTTTCGCGCCGCGGCTTTTTCGGGCGTCAGGTGACTTCTTGCCGCCGCTTTTCAGTGGCATAAATTACCCGTTCCCAGAGGCCGGCTCGGCCGCCGCGCTGTGGCGATTGTCGCGCGGCCGAGACGAACAAAAAGACCAGGAGGACTACTAACCTGGAAATAAATCGCCACCTGGGCCGATCGGGCGTTTTTAGCGGAGGCGCCGACACTGCCGGCCATTTGTCGCCACGAGGTAATGAAACGGCTCCGGCCGCCCCGCCCGCGACGTGCCGCCGCCGCCGAGGGAGGTGGACCCACCCACGGAGCTGGCCGGACGACACGGGGACACTCAGAGGAGAGCCGGACAGTCAGAGGGGCCAGGGCGGGCCCCGGACACACAGAGGGGCCGGAGAGGAACCCCGCTGTGACAACCGCGGGGGGCGTGTTTGAAACTCATCACCTCCAGCCCGTGGGAAACGGAGGTGGTGGTATGGAGAGAGGTTGGTTTCAACCACATATTTGGAGATGGAGGAACTCGCACTGGGTCCAACTAGATGAATCATGGTGAACGTTAGCCACAGATGTCAAAGGCTGTCGTTGATGACTACAGTCAAGATGTGGCGCTTGGCTTGTGATTTCGACTCCCCAGTTCCAATCTATGTATGTCACCATTTGAATCTGGAATTATGGTCAGCTTATCTTCCACATTTACAAGCAATGAGAATGATTGTATAGCTATGAGAATTCAAAAGCAAACAAATCTGAGGTCTTCCTACAATTATCCGCTACACTTATCCAAGCCAGTTCTGTGGGAAGCCCTTCACGGTTCGGCCGACCAGCTCTCGGGCACATCACCTCGTCGGCTGCCATCCGTCGTCTCTCCACAGCAGTCGGTGACGCTCGACGTCGACACCCGGCGATCGCCGCTGTTTTTAACCGCTGCGCGATCTTATCGCGTAATGCAGAATACATGTCGACGAACGCACGACGCCATGGAGCTGCCGTGGAGCGTCGCCGTCCGCGCCGGTCAGCGTAAATCGCGGCCTAAATAGCGAATCGAGCCACCGCAATCACCGCTATCAATTCTCCCGGCCAAGTGCTTTGTACGTACTAAACGCTGTTTAATTTAGTCCCGGCGAGTAAGCACCCGCAGCGTCACCCACGAGGATGAGGTGATTTCTCAGAGATCAGCACCGCTCAGGTGATTGCCGTGTGTTGTGCTCGTGACAGGCAGCACTGGCCTCTCGCTCCCAGTCTATTTACCTCGGTCAACGGTACTGACAGCGGTGCGCCAGTGGACGGGCCTCGCTCAGGGACACACAACAAACACCAAACAGAGCTCAAACACGGCTGCTGCTCGGTCTGGCGAGTGCGGTGGTCTGCTCAAACAGGTCGGGCCAGCGGCGGCGGCGGTGGCGCGCGCCGTCCTCAGCGTGTTTACTCAGCTCATAAAGTGTATCATCTCTGAGAGCGGGACGCTGTTTGGACAGCACGGGGCGTCTGGCTGTCGGCGCGGCGGCTCAGACAGGGCGGTACGAGAACGCCAGACGGCGCGGCCTCCGCGCCACGGTCGCGATACTGACGGGACGGCCTCCACGACACGTCTAGCTGCTGACGGCTCGGCCTTGATACTGTGTATATTGCAAAATTAGATTACTGGCTTTATCTTATCATTATAAAAAACAGCAAATGAATATGCAATTGAGTGACTACTTGTATGTCAAGAGCAGCACCAACTGGGCACTGGTAGCGAGCGAAGAGCAGGGACCGTCCCCTATAATTCATAGGGGGAGTGACGGAGGGGTCGCTGCCGCTCTGCGCGGGGGACGGGCCACCCGTCACGCGATCCCCAGTCAATGTCGGGTAATGAACTCGCCTTGTTGTTGACAGCCCAGCTGACTGGAGCTGCTGTTGACTAACCTCGACCCTCCGGTAGCCGGGCCCTCTACCTCCTCCCCCTGCGTTTACTGTCCGCCACACTGACTGGCCGTCGGACCGTATAATCCAACTCTGACCGGCCCTAACCGCGAGAGGACAGTGACTGAGAGTGACTGAGCGACTGAACATGGCTGGTGAAACATCGGGGTTCTTTCCGGAAATAAGCGGGAGCATAGCCGATCGTAGAAACCCAGCATAACTTCACACATATCAGAAAAGATCAGAGCCTCATCATACAGGTCTGATTTACAGGTCATACAGGTCTGTAAGTTTAATTTTGTTTGCGGATGCGGTGACGTGGCGGTGGCGGTGGTGGCCGCTGTGTCAGCGGCGGTGCCCGCCCCCCCCCCCCCCCACCCCGCCCCCCGCAGTGCCGCCGGCGGGCTGTCGCCGCTGATTTGTTGCCCGAGCGGCGACAATGGTGACGCGGTGGTGACTTATGCCGCCGTTGTTTACAGTTGCACCGAGATGAATGGTGCAGACGGTAGCCTGTCGGGGAGGGGAGCTGTCTGGGTCGCCATGTTCCATAGGAGGTCAAGGGGGTGGGCTGTGGGAGGCTGGGTGAGGTCGGCGGCGCTTCTAATATTCCAAGGTCTGATTCGGTCTGATCCAAGGTCTAACATTCCATGCGGCTGTACTAAGCAAAAAAAAGGTCTGGTTACCAAGCAATATTGGTCTGATGCGGAAACCAAAATCACAATTACATTTGAATAACTTGGCAAGTGAGCGATGTTCTGCCAAATTTAAATTTTAATTAGCGATAATGCGAGAGCTTATGTTAGCTAATCAATTAAACAAATAAGACGGTGCTCTAGCCCCAGTGAATGGGCCCTAGACCTCGGATTCAGTCCTCTGGGGAGCGAGACTTGTTTGGAAACCGTTGATTTCCCGCTAGGTTCCCCTATGGTCGATATCCAGTCTCGCAGCGGCGCTCCCCGCGCCCCGGGAAGAGCTTTCAGTGAGCGTTCTGAAAAGCCCAGTCTTCAATCTGATAACATATTAACACACACGAACGTAAGGCACTCCAGGATTAACTGACATGTGCCGGACGGAACGCCTCGAGTGAAGCCCCCTCATCTGAAACCTCGGCGAGCTGTCCGGCCGCTCCTGCCGCCTCCAGCCCACCGGGGTGGCGGGGTGCCGGAAAAATGTCTAATCTCGTTTTGCTTGACATCACAGACAGCGAGAAGCTGCCCACACCGACCAGGCTGCAGTCCTGATCAGACTGCGTAGAGACAACTGCGAGACAGAATGGCACTCAGTGATTCGCGCCAAATCTGAGTCATCGCTGGACCACATAGATTATCCATATCAGACCAGCACGCGACAAAACAGGGAAACACGGTCATTGGATACGCCTCGCCTCTAACATAAACGAACACAAGTTCGTACAAGTAAACGTGCAGCTGCTTTGTTGACGTCGCAATGGAAAATTCGAAGCCCGACATTAAATCCCACAGGAGCCGCTGAGACTGCTGCGCTGAGAGCTGCCGTGCACGAGCAGTGGAAATCAGCGCTCTCCCTTCTTTCACAGCAGCAGAGTGGGTCGCTTCACCTAATCCAGTCGCGCACTTCCCCCGTTTTGTGTGGCTGTTTTATCCGCCATAGCGGCGATCGTCTCGCCGTCCGCTCTGAAAGGGGCCGCCCCTCGGCTGGAAGCGGGCCGTGCGGCTGGCCGCCTCTCACTGAGCGCGCCTCTCATAAACGCCAGGACCCACCTGGCCGGCGCCCGCTAAGCTAACAGAATTTGAAAGCGCCGACAGGATGATACAAAACAGATACATACATCAGCCGGCACAATGCCCGTATCAGCGGCTCTCATCGGGGGGTTGTGTTATTACCGTGCCTACACGGCCAAATTAACCCCGGTAATCCGCACCCCTCAGCCGGGCCGGGCACAGCCGGGACAATGGGGCCCGGCCGTCTGCGGGGACAGGCCCTCGAGAGCGGGCGCGCGCGGCGGGGCAGTCTGGGTGG